CTTCCACTGCCTTCAAACCCATTTCTTGAAAAAATATTTGTTGGGCATTCCAGATGTTATTTATTCCCTCAGACCTCATCTTCTTACCTGTAATTTCTACAGATCTGTATGAGATCATTTTATCAGCAGAACAGAACTAAGATCTAATAACTGTTGTAAACACTAAGCAAGCATACTGCAGTGATGTTCAAAGAAAAAAAGAGTTTGTTTTTTTTTTTTATTTTAAGGACACTGTTTAAAACAGCAAGAGCAACCCCATCAACAGAGGAAGGGAGCAGAATGGGATTTAGAAACATTTAGAATGTAAGGATACGAGCACGGAAGAAACTAGATTTAGAAGGGAAAATACAGAAAAATAATTATGATTTTTGAAAGATGGGAGCAAATAGCACTGTAGCTATATAATACCTTCATCCAGACGAATTTTAAAGTATGAAAGGACTCTACACTATAGTTAAGGTGCCAGTCTAGGATCATATGCGCATGGAAACAAGATTTGCCCATAAAGTACTCATGTAATCAAATTCAACTATTCCAAAGTTTCCTATGAGTATTTCTCCTCACAGTCATTTTTTCTTCAGCTGAAGCATATCCTATTCTCAGGACTCTGAGGAACCTCCACTACCTTCAAGGCAGGGTTGGATTGAAATTCCACAGTTCTTAACAGTAAATATTTGAATTCATTTGCAAAGCACCAACTCTCTTTTGCCTCCAATCAAATATTTGATGGATCCAGGGGTCCCTGGGTGGTGCCAAGCAATATGACAAGAGGCAGCAGGCAGAAACCACACCATGGGAATTCCACTAGAATATAAGTAGAACTACCTTGCTGTGCAAGTAACCAAGCACTGAAACAGGTTGGCCAGAGAGGTTTTCGAGTCTCTTCCTGCTCTGGAGATATTGGAAAGCCATCTGGACACAACCCCAAGTAATGTTCTCTTAGGGAGCCTGAATGAGATGACATCCTGTGGTCCCTTCAACCTTACCTATATCCAATCTAAAACAAGAGCTCAAGCCACATTTCCAGAGATGGGCAAGACATGCAAACCTGATCTAAGGTGTGGAGCTAAATCTGAAATAAGACCACAATTTTCGTTCATTTCCTTCTCTAGAACTGTAACTGTGTAAACGTGTTTTAGAAAAGCTACTTTAATTAAAAGTGTAGTACATTCAGTAAAAATCTCACGCCTTATTCAGAGCACAATTCTCACAAAATTCCTTGGCATCATTACAACCTTTGTCACAGAAGTGTTTACAAAGTCTCTTTGCATACAAAAAAGGTATCTGAAAATAATATTAAATTTCAAATTAAAGAATTGCACGTACAGAATTTTATCAGAGAAATTAGATTATAGTTGAGAGCGATACGTGCTAGGGAAAAAACCTAATGGATGCAGCTTTGGGTATAAAAAAATATAAATTATAAAATACATAAAAAATTATTTTAAGAGGTTTCTCTCCAAAATATAGTTCAAAAAATTTTTTTTTAAATTTTCCACAGCTGGAAAGTTATTTATCGCCAAAAATCTCCATTTCTAAAGAGCTCAACTCAGAATTCAGAATCAATATCAAGAAGCGAAATTACTGTAACTTAGTTTTTAGTTCAAGAAACACCAAGTTAACACAACTTTAGTTTGCAAAAGGGCTGAGACAAACGTAAGAAAGACTTACACATCCGTGGGCTCTCCTCGGGCCAGCTTCTCAGCACAGGCGTAGGCGCCTTTGTGCAGCCAGCAGTAGGTGTCCACAGCTACCGCCATTCCTTTGTATTTCTTCACGTGGGAAGGCTCGGCAGCCTCCTTGATAAACTGCAGCAGGCCCTGGATGCCCATGATGCCGCCGAGCGGGGAAGGAAGGAGAGGAGCGAGCCCAAGCCGAGCGCTCAGTGCTCCCGATGGTCACCCCGACCTTCGCTCGAGGACCGCCGGGCCAGCTCACAGACGGGGCGCTGGGCCGCGCCAGGAGCTCCCGCGGCCGCCCCCACGCATCCCCACGGGCGGCGGCGGCTTTACCTCGTTGCGGGCCGGCGCTGCCCGGACAGCGGGGCGAGAGAAGGACAGAGGGACACGGGGACCCCGCCCGACCCCGCCGAGGCACTCGCGGTTCGCCCGATCCGGCCCGGCTCAGCGGCAGCGCGCGCCGGCCGCCCGGGGCTTTCAAGCAGCGCGCGCTAAACGCGGTGTCCCCGCCCCGCGCGCGGGGACTACGATCCCCATGGTGCCCCGCGCGGGCGGGGAAGCGCATGCGTGCCGGAGTTCCTGGCGGCATTCCTCACGGCCGGCGTGCGGCGGACACGGCTCGCGTATAACAATCAGAAGGTGACGTTTATAAACATTAAATAGGCAGAAATCAAAAGGCCCCGCAGAGTTTTAACAGGACAGTGGACTGTAGCCAACGCCGTGAGAGGGGAGGAGAAGGGAGGGGCTGAGGCGGGTCCCTGCCTGCCAGGGATGGAGCGGGGACAGATGCTGTTGTTACAGCGCTGAAACCCCGGTTAATGTAAGAACGGATGGCCAAAGTTACAATTATGTGATACAGGTCCTTTTTCTTGTCAGTTATGGTGAGGGTTTGCTTGCATAAATAAAAGCAGAACTTGCAGTAAGATGTAAATGTAGGCCAATACCTAGCAGACAGAAGTTTGTTTTCCCACGTGCCGCTTGGAAGCCCGGGCAGTTCTCAGCTTCTCTGACTCGGTGAGGTGGATGACTCAGTCCGCAGTGTAGAAAGCAATGTTTCCAGACAGGGAACAGCAAAGTTTAAATTCAATGCATTCTGGAAAGAACACATCTGAATTACAATTTCTCAGCTAAGAAATGCGTATAAAAAACTGGGTCACAGTGATAGCATAAGACGTTTTAATGTTGAAAATATTGATTGAATTCTGCTTTGCCAATTCTTTTTTCACTCCACAATTCTGACTCCATATGGCACACTCCACAAGTCTGAAATCCAATTGCAGTTAGAATCCATTTGGATTAGGTTCGCTTCTCTTAAGAATATGTTCTTCTATCACTTCTGACATTTCTTTTTCTGTCAAACCGCTGTGCTCATGGGAAGAACAGTAATCAGAACAGACAATCTAATGTACCAATATAATTCAAAATCTTACGTGCAATTCAATTAAAAAGACTTTGGACTATTTTCTGTAATATAAAAATAGTTAAAAATAGGCCTGAGGTGAACCTCAGAGTCAGAAGCACTGGAGTCAATGAAGTATTCTTGAAGGAAGCCAGAGCTACAGAACTCTTGCCCAGCTCAGACTTTCCTTTTCAATTTCTTCACCTGAAAGGATGGGTACTTTGGAATTGAAGAGTTAGCACAACATGTCTTAACATTCAGTCAAATGTCTTCAGCCATGTCTGAGCCAGTGTGACCCACCCTCACGGCATTTCATAACTTCTATAAAATAACAGAAGCTTGATACCAGGAGTCAAAGGCTTTGTTGGTTTCAGTAGAGCTATCTTGACTTAAAACTGGCTAAAGATACCGATCTTTAAGTTCAACAGTGTCTCTTGGAAGAAAGTAGTCAGACAGTAACATTTTGGTGAGTTGTTCCCTGGAAGAACATTGTAGTATTGCAGTTTTATTTCCCATAGGTACCACATGAAGCAGGGAAGCAGCACTGCATTATGGTTAGTTGACTTGTTTTAATATAGAGAATTCTTTTCTTTCACAAGTAGCTCATGTATCAAGAGAATTGGTAAGACTAGAAATTACTATGCCAAGTCTCTAGTGTGTGTTCTTCTCTTTCCTTGAGCAGTTTTGTAATAGTGACTGGCAGAATGCATTTTAAAGAGATCTTGAAGTAGAAAGTATAGCAGAAACATTTTGTTTTCTTTGCAACTGTTTTCTGTCATGTAATAAAAAAGAAGACCCATTCTGAGTATAGCCCTGTTGACCCCTGATAGAAATTTGAGATAGGTGCCCAAGATAAAAACACCAAAGTACCTCTAGAACTGCTTCTTTCTCAACACAGCTCTCCTAAAGAGGAAATGGGATCACTGTCTGATGTAAACATTTAGCCTTTACATGGAGAAGTAAAGCAAAATTAAATTTGTGCCCACTACAATGGGCAAGGACATGTTCCAAACTTTTACTAAACTTCCTTCCATACAGTGTCTGGCACAGCTGGAAGTGTCTTCATGCAGAAGATTAAAATCCTTGGAATGAAAACTGGCACTTTGCTGAAGCTTACAATCAGACCATCAACTTTAGTGATATTAATAGACTGTCTGGTTTACAATAATTTTTCCAAAATTTCAGTGAATTTCTTATTACTGCTACTATATTGTTTTCACTGCTTAAGAAGTTGATCACTTTTATCTCAAAAAGTTGGTTTGGAAGTTAGTTGGACTATTTAATCAATTTCTTAGAAAAGAAATTTGATTTTTCTCTGATAGGTGGCAGCATTACATTCATTGCACCCTTTATCTGTCTTTTATTGAAATTTCTGTTATTGGACTATATATTTTCACAGCTTTTTTTAGCCAAACTTTAATACCACTAGCAAATTCATGAACAATTGTACACACTTGAGAGAAGTTTAGGGGATGACATCTTTAAACTATATTTAGTAGCAGAGAAAATGTTTTTAAAAGCTCCTAATTTATCAGGAAAATATTGTATGAATGGTGTTAGTAATGTTATTAAAAACCTAGTTCTAGTTAACATAGTTTTGTTATGGGCATCTGCTGATTATGTTAGCTTAGTAACTATTCTGAACTTAAGCCAGGCTGTGCTGCTTGTGGCAAGTTTTTTTTTTATGTCTGGAAGCACAATGTCAGTATAGAGAACAAAAGCATGCTAAACTCTATCCCAATGCATTTTTTTCCAATGCATTTTTCCCTTGTGATCTGTCGTTGTGAAATCACACATGCGGGTGCTGCTGAAGCCCCTGCTCCTTGCGGCTGCATGGCTCAGCCTGGCCCCTAGAGGCTTCTTGGGACGCAGCCTCACCTGCAGCCCAGGGCAAGGGGCAGTTCAGTTTCACTTTCGGGAAGCAGAGGCAGGAAAAACTCTCTTAATTTGTAGGTATATCTTCAAACAAGTCCTGCAGTCGTTACTACCACTTTAAATTACTCTTGGTTTTGTTGTTTTTTATTTTTCTTTTTGACCTCACAATAATACAGGTGCCTCCAGACTCTCCAAGTCTGTCCAGAACTTGAGCTGTGCCAAGGTGACTTTCTTCAGTTTGGAAATTATACAGAGCTCTCTCTCCACATATCATTAAGGCATGATCTAGTAGCATTAACAGCTTGATTCAATAATTAACAAGAAATTACAAAAAGACAAGGGAACTGCTGCCGATAAGCACCAACAGCTTGGCATGCTGTGGGAAAGGAACGGCTGTGTCATCGCTTTCAAAGAGAGCCTGAGACACTCGAGTCCTCCTGGGGCAGGTGAGCGGCCTCTGGGGATTTGTTGCTGTCGATTTATTTAACTTGGTGCTGGACCCCCCTGCACCTCAGGTAAGCTATTCCTAGACTTACACACTCTGCATATGTAGTTTATTTTTCTGAGAAAAGGGATTTTGAATAATGTTTGACAGCATTCCTTTCCTCAGTGCTTCTGGTAGCACACAGTGAACTAGCAGGTGAGTGTCTGTGTTTCAGGAAAGTCTGCAGAAACATGAACCATATAGGGCCTTGGTTAAAATCTTGTTTTAAGCCAGTAGCTCAACTAAAAGGACCTTTTAAATGAAAGCTTAAAATGGAGAAAAAAATTTCTTTTGTCACAAACAGGAAAACTGTAGCTGAGATTCTCAGAGATCTGATTCCAGCTCACAGACTTTATGGGACTTTCAGCCCAGAAAGAAGAGCAGAAGATAGATGTTTATTTTTCAGGTACAGGCTCCTCAGTGTGCAGTGCAGTGGGCAGGAGAAATTGTCTCTAAAAATCCAGCAGCACTCCCTCAGAGAGGAAAAGAATATTTTGCTGAGTTATTTGGGTGAAGGTGGAGTAGGCAGCTGGTGGCAGGTGCTTCCACAGTGCTCACTGCCCTCTCAGTATTACTGGCTGCTCTCATACATAGTCTCGGGCCAGAAGTTGGGGATAGATTCGTGCTGATCTTCTTTCTTACTCTCATCTTTCTCTGTCCTCTTATGCTCTGTATTTCTGCAGGTGCTGTAATGATAGGGAGAGCACCAGACAACAGGGTACCCTGATTCACCTGCAAATACATGTGGCTATATTCTCCTCATCTGGTTTTTTACTGAGGAGGTTTTTTTAACTCCTGGAAGTGAAAAGTATCCATTTTTATTCTGATTGCACTGATTTTACTGGTTCATGTTACAGCCACTAGATACAGTTACACTCAAGACACTGATCTTGCTAGAGATATCTTCAAACCAGAAAGACCTGTCAGCATCTTGTTAAATTCCAGCTTTCCAAAAAATGGCATAATTAGTGAGGGCTTTAAAATATCTTTGGTCACTTGAAGAGAATGGAGATTTGCAAACTAAAGAGAACTTAATGCACTCACCAGTACCTATCTATAAAGGTCTTAAAGTAACTCAGTCTGGAGCACAGAGAGCTTGTAGCAATGAATTTTTATCAGTCTCATTATTTTACCCAAGCCTGGTAACACAAGTGCTGGTCTGGACTGACATAGCCTCTAGTTTATAGAACCACACCGATAATACTCAATATTTCACACAGGTGAATGACATACAGATGTTTTATCAGATTCTGTTAGAATTTTCTTTCATTTCAGAGATGAAAAAAGAGAGGCTTTGATGCAAAAAAAAAAGTTCAGATATTTTGCTGGGATGATTCTCTGGAATCAGATAGGGTGATCAAATATTGTTTATGCTTTCTGGGGAAATGGGGGAGGCCCAGTAGCCTGCCATTTCCCTTGCATCTGTTACATCTAGCCATACTAAGTGCCTTGTTAATTTCTGTTTCTCATGTAAGTGTTCTTCTTTGTGCTACATGGAATAAAACTAAAATAGGTTAATCTTTAACTAATTATGCCAGTAGCAGCTGAACAGTCTCATGTGTTCCCAACTGAAAGTAATCTAGAGTCTGTTTTTTTCTTTTTTGTAGGTACTGATATATTCCATATAGCTGAGTCTTCCAGCAGCAAATGAAAAACATGTATTTATTCCTCCTTTCCATTTTACCTTTGCTTTTGAAAGTCACTGGCACCAAAAATGTTATATTTGGTCATAATAATTTCACAGAATATCAAGTGGGCAACATGAACCTCATTCTCTCTGTCCCACATGGTGGGTCAATGGAACCTAAAGACATCCCTGATCGAGAGGCTGCCTGTTGGGATGCGAAGACATCCTCTTGTATTTTCTCTCATGACTGTCCTCCTGGAAGTATTCAAAATGCTATGAAATGCAAAGTGTCTACCAACCAAGATAGGTATACCATAGAGGTGGCTCAGGCTCTTGCTGAAGAAATCAACAAAATTACTGATGGCTTCTTCCCACATATCATCATAAACCACCTACAGAGGTTCAAGATGGATGCTAACAGGGAAAAGGAAGAAGCCTCCTTTGGAATTCCCCTAGCAGAACAGGCCTGGGAGGACTATATGGGATTTTTGACCACTGCAAAGTCACAAATGTCAGGGGGCCTAATTCTGGATATCCACGGACAAGCACATCGTGAAAGGTGGATAGAACTAGGTTACACACTTTCAAAAAGTACTCTTAACTCAGGTGTCTTTTCCGCATCAAATTCCTCAATTAGCCATCTGGCCAGTCAGCTGGTCAATGTGTCTTCCAAGACTTTGGTTGCAGGGAACAGAAGTTTGGGTAAATATATTGAAGGACAAAATAAGAGTTATGTTTGTGTGCCTTCTCCATCCAATCCTAGCCCAAATAATGGAAGCTATTATAGTGGTGGGTACATAACAAAGACTTTTGGTTCCCGTAGTTCTGGCACCATTGATGCCATTCAGCTCGAACTGCCCCAGTGGGTCAGGGCAGCTGAAGAGCGTCAAAGATTTTGTAAAGCACTGGCAAGGGCTGTAATGAAATTCTGGCAAACTAACTACTGCAGCCAGCAAAAACACAAACTTCTGCCATGCTGACAGCCTCTTGGCTGTCCTGTTAAGACACCTTTCCTTAATAGAGTAGTGATCTGAAACAATCAAAACACTCATTCACCTGGAACATTTAAGTGCAATATAATTGTGGATGCTGGTAGAAAGAAACCATCCTGCAAAGGAATGCATCAACATAGAGGAAATCCACAGTTAATGCCAACAAATCCAACCCAAAAAATAACACCTTTGTACTAGACCCAGCACTGAAATATCTGCTGTAAGATGAGTGGGTGCAAGCATCACTTGCCTGTGCTTTATTTCTTTCCAGTCTCATGATAAGCAACTGATCTTCTAATAAATTCGGTGCAATGCCTTAGTGGATTATCTGTTCAAATAAATTAAATGTCTCTGCTTTTCTTTTGACACTTAAGAAAGACATTTGGTTAATATCATTGTATAAAATGTTTGGGGTCAGGACCAGTTTTTTATTTGGTGCTTATAAAGCCCTAGGGTTTGGAAGTAAGCAGTAATGCTGGGCAATGACATGCAGTCTGATCTACCCCAGTTTTTTTTTAATGTAATGAATTAGGAAAAAAAAGGTCTGCACTTATAGCACTCTAACTTTGTCACACTTTAAATAGCATAACAGTAAGGTAGTGACTGGGTGGAAGGCTGATATAGCACGCACACATCATGCATTTTTGACAGTTTTCCTTACAGCATGATTCCCTCCTGAGAGTTTGTCCATTATTTCGCTCACCCTAGGATTAAACACTTGATTTTTACTGTGAATACTGTTACATTATGGATAGTTTCTGCACAGTGGAGAATATAATGGCATGAATAGCCACAACTACAAGTCAACTCCTAGAGAACACAGGCAATTAACAAAGAAAACCGAGTGGAGAAGGAAGCAAGACTGAAAAGGGTACCATTTGAAAATTAAGAACCTATGAAATCCTAGCACTGCTAAAAGTTTGGTAAGAAGAAAATATTGAATAAATAGTCAATTTTGAGGAAGTAAATAGTCAGTTAATAAACTGAAGAGAAGTGGGATATCTGCATCTTGCAACAACAGTAAAATAATTTAGGCCAATTATTAGGGACAATGCCAAAGACAAAATATTACATTATGTATGATAAAACATACCACATACAAGCATCAAAATAAATGGGTAAGGATCTCTTGAGACATGAAGAACCTGTGCATTTTTAATAGTCTTTGAAGACTAGGCAATTTTTAGGTAACTGAAAGAGACTTTTTGTAGCTTTCAAAATGATACAGGACTCAGAATTGCAAGAATGTTACCTTTCATATGCAAACTGCTGAATCATGGGTCAGATGAAGTGAACACAAGTAGTAATTGGCAGATTGCACTTTATTTGGTGCCACTTGGTTTGTCAGACAAGTCTGATTTTAGTTCTGATCACAAGGTTGGCTAATGTGGTGGGCTGACCCTGGAAGACACCAAGTGCCTGCCCAGTTTCTTGCTTGCTTCCTTACTTCTCCCAGTGGGATGGAGAAGAGATGTGAAAGAGCAGAAGTGAGAAAATTCTTGGGCCACAATGAAGACAGCTTAATAGGTGAAGCAAAGCTGCATGTGCAATCAAAGCAAAACAAGTAATTCAAGCACTGCTTACCACCAGTAGGCAGATGTTTGTTTAGCCACTTCCTGGGAAACAGGGCCTCAGCACACATAATGGGATGACAAACACTATAACCATGAACATCTTACTTCCCTCCCCCATTCCATGAAGATGTTTTATGGTATGGGCTGTCCTGGGTGTGTACCTTCCCAGCTTACTCACTGGGTGTGGGAAAAAAAGCACCTTCTGGTTGTGCTGGCATTGCTGAGCAATAGCCAAAACACTGGTGTGTTATCAACACTTTTATTTACTAATCCAGGACACAGCACTGTACAGGCTGCTATGGAGGAAATTACATTAATCCCTCCAGATCTGGTACAGCTGATCATAAGAATTTTAAATATACTCCCACAAGATATTTTGCAGCTACCCTTCAATCCATCATAGCCTTGTAATGAGTTGAAGGCAGGTAAATAATTGCAAGTCATTGTATATTCAGTTCATGAGAAGAATGTCTTTTCAAGAAGGCCAGCAGATCAAACACCATTCAATATCAGTGATATAGAAAACCTCCTATTTTCCCCAAAATAGTAGGTAATAATATCACTAGTTATATGCATTATCACTAGTTATATGCATTATTATATGCATATGTAATTACCTTTTTTCTCACTAAGGTGAGACACTTGGCACCATTTATGCTTAGCCAAAGGGTGAAAATGTGTTCTGTGCTCTGTGTCATGTTGTGACATTGTCCTGGAATTCTGCAACACAAAAAAAGATATGAAGAATCATGATGGATAATTAATTGAATTTGAGTTCAGCAGGCACCTTTCTGGCTTAGAGGATGAACACACTCTTTGAAAGCATAAGCAAGGAACGAACAGACAGAAACAGCAGGGCATATTAACTCTTTGTTGACTTTATGATTAATCTGGCAAGAAAAAAAGCAGTGTAATATTCAATATTCAGAAGTTCAAACTGGACAAATTGAAGCAGAGAGGAAACCAGTGGTTTTGACATAGACTAACTGTCAGCAAATATACATTTAAGTCATAAATGGCCTTTTCAATATCTAGTTATAATCATACACTGTTTTTACTGGAATTCCTTGCATGAAGGATTGGAATAAAAGTAAAGATCTGTTTTCTATATGTTCTACTTAATAATGAAATAGATTTAAATGTTATTGAAAAGAAAAACAGAGAAAAAATAACAAAATAAATCTACTAGTCCACTTAAATGAAGAAATGAAACTACATTTATTTGTCTTGACTCAAGTCTTCATTGGAATCCAGATCCTTTTCCCATCCTTTGTGACTGGACTTCTCAGCTTTGATCCTTTGAAGACCTTTAAAAAATTTCAAAAACTAATTAACATACTAAGGTGAATAGACCAGATTGATAGCATTTTGTAACAGAACAGACAAAAAATATCTTTTTGTGCACATAGCTTAGAGAAAAAGTCTGATTTCATTTTGTTGTAAATCCATTGCAGTGCCATTGGCGTCAGAGTATTTTATTTTATTTTTCAGGAAGAAAACAAAAGATAGATTTCCAAAGTACATTAATGGTCAGAAAAAATAGCATATGTGCCAACAATTTGAACACTGAGTTTTTTATGACACGCTGTAATGCTGCATGTACAAGGATTAGGTCATATGTATTGGAATGCAGAGCTGGAATTCAAAGTATCCTATTAATCCCACCTAACCAGCCATGTAGAATTTAACTCTGATCCTTAGTTCTCTAGGTACCCTCTACAGAAAGGGATCAGCACCTTTGCTAGGGGTGATTCTTTTCATCCTATGGTATATGGGATAGACAAGCCTGTGGAATACTCTGATCTTGCTCCATAGAAGAAAAACCTAGAAAGCTTTGCTAGACAGCTTGCCATAGATCAGATCATTAATATCATTAATAAAATAGTACTACCTTACAATACTCAAAGCTTTGGGCAGATGGGAATTAATAGGTTGGGGCTGATTAAAAGAATCCAGTCTGAGCAAAACATTTAATGATATGAGGTTGAGCAGGAGGAGTAAACATCTGCAATACTCACTGTTTGGCATGCTCACTTCAATTGGATTCTCAAGCTTCCACCAAAGTTGGAGTTGGAGTTGGATAGGTAGTAATGCAAATCATGTTAGAAAATTAAATTGAGAAGCAGACTATTAACAGTGGAATGGCAGAGTGTGTCACTGTAATAACGTACAAGTGCTAATGGCTTCTGAGCTATGAACGCCACCACAAAAGGAAGAAAACACTTGAGCTTACCTCGTATATAGGAAGAAACCCAAATATCGCACCAGCCTCTTTGCTTGCAAACTCAAAAGTTTCCATATGTTGAACCTGACCAAGGGAAGCCAAAGTCAGTACATCAGTTGGTGAAGACAAAAGGTAATGAAGACATTCTTACTACATTCTTACTACAACTGCAAGAGAAGCTTTATATTCCCATGACTTTTAAGGTTAAAACCAGGTAAAGATGGAAGAGCTCCACTGATACTCAATTAGAATTGTAGAAAGTATATGTAATGAAATCTAACTCTCCTAGCTTCTGATTTTGTAGGAACCCTGAAAGAACTATTGTATGCAACCTGGGATTCACTGTTATTCTAGTATTTTCACACATCCTTAAAGTAAACTTAGGATATTTAGGTTTTATGTTGGAGCAGAGGAAAATTCTAGGGTTTCTATTACATGTTTAAAACAGTGAATCAGTTTGTGCTACCTTCTAAACTGAAATTTGACAATATGAAAAATGAGAATGAAAATCACAGGCATTTCTTAGATCCCTCTGTTTTTGCATTTTTGTTCTAGCTTGTCCATTGAATGAGAAAGATATGTAGGGTTATTTATGGATAATTTTAAAATGAGAAATACAATTTTATTTCCTATACATTGCCCAGAACATAAATTTGTCATATACATTAGCTACCTTTTCAGGAGCCAGAGCTCTGAAAAACTTGAAGCTGTGAACTGCTTCCTCATGTTCAGCCTCTTCTAAATCTGAAGGTGATTCAGTCAGTGACTTCAACCTGTATGTACAAGACAGAAAAAATCTGAAGTTCCTATCAAAATGACAGTTATGAACACAATATTCATATATGAATCCAAGATTAAATTATTTTGAACTATGCTCCAAAATTAAATAATTTTGAAGTATAAGTGATTTCATATATCTTCAAAATATAATTTATATTAGGATCTTTGTAGACGTCACAGAGTGCTTCACTAATATTCTGCCAATCCAGGTATGGCTGTCACCTGTAGAGGCAGGAAATCTTAATATAAACATCATTTACAAGAGTCATGTGCTAACTCTCTGATAATGGCTTTTCACTATTTCTTTAAGTTCTGACTAGAATACCTGAATGTGATTTTCATAACAAAGGTGTCCTCTGCTGATATGTCTGGTTTCCAAATTTAGTCACGAGAAGGAATTATCTGGATGAGCACCTATGCTGCTCAGATGGGTTTGTGCCTCTTCAAGTACGTGCACATTTGGGGAATATTTTCCCACAGCTTTCTCCTGGAGAAGCTGGCTGGTCACAGCTTGGCCGGGTGCACTGTTTGCTGGGTAAAAAACGACTGGACAGCTAGGCCCAGAGAATGGTGATGAATGGAGGTAAATCAAGCTGGCACCAAGTGGTGTTCTCCAGGGCTTACTGATGGGCCCAGTTGTGTTTAGTATCTTTATTGATGATCTGGACGAGGAGATTGAGTGCACCCTCAGTAAGTTTGCAGATCGCAGCAAGTTGGATGGGAATGTTGATACACTGGACAGTGGGAAACCTCTGCAGAGGGACCTGGACAGACTGGACCAATGGACTAAGGCCAGTGGCAAGAAGTTCAATAAAGTCAGGTACCAGGTCCTGCCCTTGGGTCAAAACAACCCCTGACAACATTACAGGCTGGGGGCAGAGTGGCTGGAAAGCTGCCTCATGGCAAAGGGCCTGGAGGTGCTGATCGACAGTGGCTGTCATGAGCCAGCTCTGCCCAGGTGGCCAAGGACAATGGCACATAGTCACTAGTTCAGCTGGCTAGAGTATGGTGCTCATAATGCCAAAGTTGTAGGCTTGATCCCTGTACAGGTCATTCACTTCAGAATTTCACTTGATTATCCTTGAGGGTCCCTTCCAACTCAGAACATTCTGGGATATTCAATCTGTTGATATACAAATTGTGTGCCCAGCAGGACTACGATGATTGTCCTCCTACACTCAGCACTGGTAAGGGCACACTTCAAGTGCTGTGTCCAGTTCTGGGCCCTCAATTCAGGAAGAATGTTGAGGTGCTGGAGTGAGTCCAGAGAAGGGCAGCAGAACTGGTGAAGGATTGAGAGGGTAAGTCCTATGAGGAGCAGACGGGAGAGCTGGTTGTTTAGCCTGGAGAATAGGAGGCTCAGGGGAGACCTTATTGATCTCTACAACTGCCTGAAAGGAGGCTGTAGCCAGGTGGGGGTTGGCCTCTTCTCCCAGATGACAACAGGACAAGAACAAGTGGCCTCAAGTTCCATCAGGGGAGGTTTAGATTAGATATCAGGAAAAATTTGTTTGCTGAAAGGGTAGTCAGGCATTGGAACAGGCTGCCCAGGGAGGTGGTGGAGTCACTGTTCCTGAAAGTTCCAAAAGGCATCTGGATTAGCACTTGAGGGATATGGTTTAGAAGTGAATATGGTGGTCCTTAGTTAATGGCTGGACTCGATGACCTTAGAAATATTTTACAACCTTAATGGTTCTATGATTCAATGAATATATATCTGTTAATAACACTTATAACATGGTTTGTTAATTGAGATCCTAAAATGTTATCTTGGTGATGAATACTATATGAGTTATCCAATAAGTGAATGATATTAGCATCACAAAGATAAGTGACTTGTCCCAAGACAATTGTCTGCATCCTGCAAAGTACAAAGCTTAGCATCTGTAAGTAACACAGCCTTTTGGCACAGTTAATCCAGAGGAACCAAGTCACTCTTGAGGTGACGGCACACAAAGTTTGTAGAATGATAAGACTGAAACTTTCTATTGCATGGAGTGTGGCTGCTGCTTTTTTCCCCCAGTTATCTACACAGTTAAGCATTTCTCCTTTTCTTGCTCATTGTCTGTTTAGTTAATGTGTTTAAATGTATGATAGCCATTCTCCTTTACTAAAATATTGGAAGAATCCTCAAAAAGCACTCACATTTTGACACAGGCATGTAATTTATGGAAAGTTTCTTTCAGATTAGCTGACTCAATAATTATATCTTTGGTTCCAGAGGTTTCAATCTGGCTGCTGACTATTCAGAGGAACTACAGGGGTACTTCAAACACAGCCAAGCACTTCTCTGTATTGATGACTTACTGTTCTGACTGCAGTGACACTACTTATATTAGTAAGAACTCCATGGAATAATAATTGTTAGCAGGATACCAAATTAAATGGGGTGACTGTAGCCATGATGTTTTATGAAAAATCCTTTGCTAGCATTTTTCCCTCCTGAGGAGCTGAGGGCCTCAGGAGGGAAATGTAAACAATAACTGTCTGCTGCTGTGGAATGAAACAGGTGCATCTGTGATTGGCGCATGTTGGTTGTTTCTAATTAAGAGCCAATCACAGATGCAGCCGCATCGGACTCTGAGAGTCACAAGATTTTGTTATTCATTCTTTTCTTGTTCTTTCTAGCCTTCTGATGAATCTTTTCGCTCTATTCTTTTAGTATAGTTTTAATGTAGTATTTTAATACAATATATATCATAATATAATAAACCAGCCTTCTGAAACATGGAGTCGAGTGTTCATCACAGGTGACAGTAAAGCACCTTAGAGATTTTCCATTGTCCCAAACTGCTTTGGTTGAAAGGCAGCCTAAGAATGGACATGGTGTATGAAACCTAACCACTAAACAATGCATGACTTTTAAAGTCCTAAATAATTTTTTTCATATTTGGATTGCTTTTGTTACTTAAGACACTGCATGTATGGCCTCTGAAGATGCCCTCTTCAATATTTCTGTTCACTTGGTTAATCCACTAATTAACGAACCAGAGTGTTCCAGGACTAGAAATATGTACTTAAACTAACAGGCCAAGGCTCTCTGACTGAACTTGTAACTAACCCATCTCCCTTAAGAACTCTACCTAGAAGAAAAGTTGAAGACTGCTATTGAACACACATTTATGCCAGTTTCAGAATGCCATGATCTGTGAATCCTCTACCCATGTATGTGAATGTATCCATAACGTCTCAGTGAGTTTAAGATGACCATTTCTTAAACTGAAAGATTAAATTTGGTTTATTCTTCTAGAACGATTTGTGTTTTGCTTGAAACTATTCACATTAAGCTGTTCAGGTAACAGGCTGCTAACCTGAACAGCATATATAACATACAACCTCTAATTAGGCTAAAAGCTGAGACAAGTATCTAGTCATCACTATAATTGAGTTCAAACCTTGAACGTCACCTAATCCTGACTGTCACCAGGTCACTAAAAAAGAAAAGATTTATCCATACTGGGTAAAAAAAAAATCTTTAAAAATATTTTTCTGAATAACAAATAGTACTATTTTTTTCTGACCTTCAGATAAAAGGTGTTTTTAAAGCATATTTTCAAAACTGTTCCCCTAATCATACATGTATGTAAATGTATGAGATCTTACTTGTCTCTGTCGAGGATGAGAGGATATATAACCTTCTTCTTTTCTGTATGTTTGCTCTCCTCTTTAATTATAGCAGGAAAATCATTAACATCAGAAGGCAAAATCAACCGACTGGTATCTGTTAATTCAAACTTCCTGGCTTGTCCAAAGTAACCAAAATAATATCCAGTCATGGCATGCCAAAGCCTACAGACATAGTAGAAGCAGTGCAAAAGGACAGAAAAGAAAAATGGATATTTTTAGAAGTGGAACAGAAGTGGGATAGTATTTGTGTACATTATCAAATTCTGCAGCACTGCTCTAGAGTTCAGTGTGCTTGTCATAAAAAACGAGACTGCCTTTATCATTTAAATAATTTGAGAGTGGAAAAAAAATCAAAAGTTTGTTGCAAAAACAGAAAAAAAACCAGTTCATGTTTGTATTTATGAAAATTAAGAGTAAATGTACCAAAATCCTGAATTGTTCCTGAAGTAAAGTGCTGCCACCAGAGCAGGATCCACACAAAATTTCTTCATTTAATACTTCCAGAAAACCAAGAGAAACCCCTCAAATGTACTTGTTAGCTGAGAAGGAATTATAGTTGTCTATCAAGTATTCATGCTCTAATTGCATACACATTGATTAGATGCCATGCTTAGGATCCAAATCAATTTCACAAGTACTGAAATCTAAAATAGGATTAGAACAGGAGGCAATTTTTAAAATTATGTAGCCATTACCTATGTGTTCAAAGTAAAGCAAGGGCTGAAAGAAAATGACAGTCTGCAAAAGATCTGACTTCTGGAGAAGTGCTACATTAAAACCAGCTCTTTCGGGTGCAGAACAGAAAATGCACCCAGTGCATTTTATTTAAGTGCACTTTATTTAAGTTCTAGCCTATATGCAAGTCCAGCAAGAAAAGGAACTTTGAAGGTAGCTCAACTGATTTGCCATAGCAGTAAGAAGTGGTAGTCATTTTATACCTGACTGAACCATCAATGGATGCTGTCACTATCACATTTTTCTCCTCTTCAATAAATAAGTCAACCACTTCAGCAGCATGTGCCCTCCAGCAGAGCTCCTCCTTTATTGCCTGAGGGGAAAAAAGCAACATAACCACATTTGAGGCAGTTCTGTACCCTACCATGGTTGCTAGCTTGGTGGATTTACCAGCATGTCTTTCTGAAAATTAGAGGAAGTGAAAAAATAATCCCTCCATGAAACAGCCTGCAAATAGCATATGGTAGAAACACCACCCAGGGGACACGGATGAATAAATTCATTCTTAATATACCTTCTTTGAACATAATGAAATAATGCTAACACCATTTTACCCGTGTTTTTCTTTTTCTTTTTTTTTTTTTTTTCACAGCATCAAATTACTATTTCAAACACAAAATATGATCTTTATACGCAGAAAACATTTTTATCCCTGTAGAGCTCTGCATTATTTTTGTTCTGTTTGTCTGGGTATACTGTTCAAGTTAAGATCTGAAAGATAATTCCTTACATTTTTTCTATTTCGTGAATCTTCTAAGAATGAGGCCATGTTCCAGCGAAAAATATGTCCCTCTGTTGCAGAAAGGAGAAAGCAAAACATCAGTAAGTATCTTTAGTGCTACACCTTCACTTGTTGCTGCCATTGACTCTCAGTAGACACTGGGCAGAATGAAACCGAGAACACAGGTCAGTTAGTTTACAGTGAACATAACTATTTTATTGTCAAGCTCAGAGTAGAAATAATGGAGTGTTCATTAATATGCAAAGAAACACACATGCAAGCTGTGAACAATGTGTCACTAACTGGACAGGTTTGAAATGGAAGTAAGGTAAAGCTTTTTCTTTAAATTATGAGTGAAAAACAAGAGTCATCTTGTCAGTTGTCTATTGCACAGCTGAGGTAGGAGAGCTTCCTGTGGATTACACTGGTTTTCAATCCTGGTAAAATGGACAAAGTTTAATTAATTGTATACATAGTGAATGCTTAATGTTTTACAACCTTTCAGTGCACTCATGTGAAACTAGAATCAAAGAACCACTTTCTTTATTACCCACAACTGCTCTGTTTCCTGCCTAGGCTCCCCCTCTCCCGATGAAGTTGCCTCCTACTTCTCATTTCTACTACAAGACAGAGGAATATTTTGTGCAATTCCAACTTTCATACCAGTCACATTTGATTTCTAGGTCTGTACATTTGCAAGCAAGGGAGGAGGCAGGTAAAGAAGCTGACCTTTTTATAACAAGGAAAAATCTGTAGAGGGGAAAGGAGATTGGTAGCAGCACTGCAGATAAAAGAGAAGAGTGTGGAAAGCATGAAAAGCAAATACACAGTGAAACAAATGCAAAAAGGCAAAGGGAGAGTACCAAATGAACAGGTAGTAGGGTGGATATTTTTCCACAACTAATTGAAATCCTGTTCAGTGCATGCTGCCCTTCTGAACTCATTTACTCATTTGAATCAGAGAGGAGTGGAAACTCCTCATCATTTTCAGTATAAAAGTCAAATTATTGCTCAATTTTGAAACAAAAGGGGAAAAATCCCTTTCTCCATCCAATATCTGACCACACAGGAGCAGAAAGCTGGCAGAAAACAGTTCTAATATGTATTTTAAAAGAAAAGTGACACATTATGACAGATACAGAAATGGAAGATTGCCAGGGTAATTCCAAAGGTTTCAAGAAGAATCAGACAGCAGATAAACTTTTGAACATTCTGACAAAGGAAAGCCAGACTTCATGTGGAATTAAAGATTTAGCAATGAGCTGCTAGCACTGACAAGTGCTTTTCCTATATAGCTGTGCACTGCTGGAGCTATTACTGTGCACTCTGTATCAGTGTTTGAATCACAGCTCTTGGTACAGCCTAAGATGCAACTTTTCATTTGGTATCATTACAATGGAACTGAAATTTTTGCTTGTTCTTAGCAGTAAACTTTGCCCTTGGGATCAATATAATAATTTAGATAGAAAGTATGTTCAGGGCATATGAATGAAGAAAATTTTAATGTTTTTTTTATGAAAACAATTCTACTGATAACACTATAACATTAGACTTTAATCCACCATCCTTTTATAAAACAAAACACCTTTTACAATTATTTAATTATAGCTTTGATGAAGAAAACCTGGCAGCACTTGGATCATCGTTTCCACATTTCTGGCTCATTTACACCATTATATTTTCTTTTTCTACTGACTGTCCTGAACAAAATGACTAACATGTTTACTCACCCTTACTGCCCGTCAAAAGAATTTTAGTGAAGATGTCTGTACACAGTGCTGTCAAAGGACCTGAGGGATGTCCTGAAAATGGCAGAAGTTCTTTCATCAAGTTTCCCTAAACAAACAAACAAGCAAACAACCCTCACATATTTATCTTATAATACCTACATTAAAAATATTAATTCACCAGAATTTGAGTGCCATTGACTTTATCTATTCAACATTACTGGGTTAATATCTTTTCAGAAAGCTGCTAAGAAGTAAATTCCTAAATCTACCAAATTACGAAGATAGCTGTGTATTCTTCTGGATTGCGGTCTCTTGTATGTCTAAAGGACAAGCTCTTTAATTCTTCAGGCAAGTCAGCCTAGTTGTACCTACCCCTACTTTACCACCCACCCCTCATTTGCTATGAAATAGCATCAGTATGCCCCTCATTTGCTACTGAAATATTGGCGTTTTGCTGCAAATGGGCCCATAATGTCTCCTTCACCAACTTGCTCTATTTTTCAAGTTAGCACCGGTAGACTTCCTCCATTATTGCCTCTTCAGGACTGAGAGGATGTGACGGAGAATGTTTTGCTGATAAGGAGATTCTTATTTTGTCATCCGTGTAATGATGATGACAATCATTCCAGTGATGACATCACTGGTATATGAATTTGGAGATTCCTGTAGGAATCTAAGCACACTAATATAACAACTGTGAAGAAAACAAAACCCAACATAGCTCACACCTATAATACTTGGATACATTTACCATCATTTTCTATTTTTACATAAAACATCTGCAAGGTTACCTTCACCATCTTTCTTCCCATGGGAAAAATTCTTCCCATGACTTGCTTTAGCTGGGATTCCTGTTAAAGCCTTATGTGGCTGACCTTTTATGATCACTGTCTGTCACAATGACCAATATTACCAATCAACCAATCATATCATGGTACTTTCCCTTCTTGCTGTATTTCCTTTGTGTATATTATTTAGAGTAACATGCTGCCTGGAAAAGTCTTACAGATCCGAGGTGATATGACAAATAGGCCTTTGCCATTTGGTAGCATGACTGGCTTTTCAAGCCCATAACAGTTCTAAATGTTATGTGTTAGGACACTATTCTCTCCTGGTTTGTTCCCCTACTAGTGCTAGCTGGCGTGGACAATTTTCCAGACATATTTAGCCTCTTCTTACAGTAGGACACTCTGCCTTGCCTATCATCCTGTCTTAGAAGGCAAACGTTGTGGGTGAAAAAATCAAATTCTAGACTTTCACATAAATTTAGAGTCAGTTTGTTATAATTACTTCAAATCATGTTTCCTTGTTTTCTGCTTGCCATTAAGCCCTGCTGCAGTTACTAAAGCAGAACTAATTTTGGAAGAAACTGATAACCAAAAGATGCAATAAATACCCGCTGCTGCAATTGCTAGTTAAAGACCAATTTTCCAAAGATTACTGGAATTACCTTCTCTGTCCCTTCCCAAAGACATTCAGTTGGCTACCTGAATACTCCATAGGCGGACACAGCTACTTTCATGAGCAGAAGCCAGTAGAGGTGATAGTCCTGCTCTAGCCTTCAACAACTGTTCATTCATCTCCAGATTTTGGGTGTCCTTACAGTCAGTTGTTTCTTCTGCTTTGGAACACAAATGATCATATATTTTCTCAAAAGGTTTTAGCATTGCTTTTCAATGCACAGAAATTATGTAACACTAGAAAAATAAAATTTGAAAATAAAGCCCATCATCAAGATGGCATTACTCAAAAAGCATTAGAGGTATAGATAAAGAAAACTGAAAAGAAGTGGGAACAATCTTCATTATCTTATCTAAGCCAGCCAGAACTATTGCTCAGTGATATAGGGGAAACTTATTTAGAAGAGAGCCATTTTACAGTATTTTACAGATTTTACAGGAACTGCAAGCACAAGTGAGAGTGGAGGAGTGCAGGACAGTGGCCATCAGGACAGCTACCAGGCACATGTGCAGCCTCTGCATGAGGCTTCTAGAGATAAAAATGAATTCAGCAATGAAATTTAATAATGACATGACACTTAACACTCTGGAATAATAGATTTCTATACTTATTTCTCCAATTGAAAACTTCTGCTAAATGCAAGGGGATGATCACAGAGACCCATTCTGAGTTTCTGCTGTTACTTTTCCAGAACTGGAGATGCTGGCAGGACCTTCATAGACATTCAGTGGATGCAAGACCTAACATGAGTGTCTATTTCATTGGGCAACAAGGCTTAGGAATATTCTGGTTTTAGGGCATGCATTTTCCCCCAAATAAATTTATCTTAAATCCTTATTACAGATGATCAAATTTATTATTACTGGGAAATTCTGCTTTCCAGCAGAGGATTTCTAAGGGATTCAGAAGAATCTAGAGGATTTATTTCTTGCAAATTTACCAACTCATTTGCACAGTTTTAACTCTTAGGCACTAGGCTCTCTCTTGATTATGTTTTTTTTAAGGACAGACACTGTAACAAAGAATTTTCTTTCTAAAATTTCACCTAGTTTCTAAGCTTTTGTCTGTGAGGCCATTTATTGATGCTTGACTCAAGTTGGTTCTTGCTATACAATTTCAATAAGAATATTTGTGTGGAAGAAAAGTGTGTACAGTTGACATTCCCAAACTCTGAAAGTGTTATCATGTCAATTTGGAGAAAAGAAACAATTAAGGTCTTGCATATCCTGCATCCTGGCTTTTAGGAAATAACTGCAAACCAGGAGGGAGAAGAAGATGATGAGACCTGTCATCCACATACCAAAGGTATCCCAATTATTCTAAACAAAGTTTGCCAGACAAACTGACAAATTCAGTCTCTACAATAATTTGGGCAGAACTCATGGATCAACATCAAAAAGAATGAAAAACATCTTTCCGTACCTGTTTTAATTTCAGTATTAATTTCATCACTTTCCGCATTCTTCTAAAAGAAACAAATAAAATGTAAGAGAATTAGGAAGTGGAATTTGGATGTAACTACAGAACAGTTCACTAGCTGAAATTATAAGAACTTATTTTTTAGTTGGATTATTCAAATATTCCTCCAATTTCCACTGAGTGTAAACAAGAAACACTTTATTTGAAGAGAATCAACAGATGAACAAATCAAAAAACAAAAGCAATGGGAATTAAGGAGCATGTTAAATGTAAATCTGGCTGAATAGCCTTAATTTCTTAAGACAAGCAACATCAGTCACAACTGTGAATGTAACCTTGATCTCTTTGAGAGTGTCATTCAGAACATGCATATAGTCTTGTTACTGCCTTGAGCGAAAATTAACAAAGTTTAAAAATACATTTATACATATATAAACATTTATGCATGTCTGCATAATAAGGGAATTTTCAGAAATCCTCATTTGTGCCTTGCCACACAGGCTTCTGAGGATCCCCAAGGCTGACAGGAATCAGTATACTGACCCCAGAAATTGCCAAGTCAAATAAGGCAGGGAAAATTGCGGTCTTGAGTGTTTGAGGTATCTCAGAAGAGGGCAAGTCAAATCTCATCCTACACGTTTATGTGTAAGGCTTGACGTATGTGACTTTCAGGGATCTTTTTAAAGGCTGAAAATCGCTTTCCATTTGTTATTCTAATGAGGACACAGAACAGTGTATTGGATACTTTAGTTTGCAGATAGCAATTATCCAGTGTGCTCTTGGGAATCTATCAAAATGCCATGTTCTGCTGAAACAACATGCTGGTAAGAATCTGAGAGGTAGCAGGATTTTCTTCTTTTGCCTACTTACTGTTTATTGCTCTGCAAGTATGACATGTCCTTCTGGCATAGAAAGGCAAAAGATGTCACAAAACCCATAACACTATCCTTAGCAAAAATACAGAGATTAAGACACTGATACAGTGATGGTAAAAAGAATAAAAAAGAAAAAAAAAAAAAAGAAGATACTTTCATTTGAAAGAATGTAAAGAATGTATCCAAGCAAGTATGGCTGCAATGTTGAAATGGTTCTGCTATTATTCAATATTATTCAAGTATACAATGATTTGTCTATTTTACCTTCCCCCTTGAATCCTTGTATACCCCCATTTGAAAGTCAGAATTCCTAGTGATAAGTATCTGCCAAACACTTTGTTAGCTATACATAGCTATTCCATGTGTCATAGAGCCAGCTGACTACCAAAGGATTCTTTATGCACTGCCACAGTCAGTTTAACAATGTTAATTTCTTCATAATTCTTGATATTTAGTTTTGTTGATGGTGTTATGGAGGGATTTTAGTAAGTTACAGTATTTTAAAATCAAAACCAAAAAGAAAACAGAAATTTGTTTTGAATGCTAGTAAATCCATCAAACCACCATACCTACCTCATGTTGGTCTGAAGAACTTCCCTCGTGCTCTGAAGTGGCACTGGAATCACTCGCCACAGAAGGAGTAGGGGACAGGGAACTTCTTTTCCTGTGTGAAAGAAATTATTGAAGATCACTGATATTCTTGAAGATACTATTAGATACTGGTGAAATCAATATCAACCAGCATTAAAAAGCCTAATAAAATAGTACTTAAACTGATTAGACTAATTAGACTAAGGGTTATTGGTTTTATATATTTTTTAAGTAACTGGGCAGTATTTGCATATTACACAGCCAACCTCCCCTGGCAGGAGTTTTGAGCTAATGAAATCCATAGTAATTGAAAAGTAACACTGGTATTCATCTTTAAGGCATGAAAGGGAAAAATTAACTGCCTGCCAATGGCTTGTTCCCTTTCATTTTACGTGGTACTTTCTCTGCAAACAGTTTTCAATTAATCATAAAAACTTATCTTAAAATTGTTACGAAAACTCTCAATAATGTGGTTTTGTGGAAGAAAATGAAAAAAAAATTGGTGTGATCTTCAACGGTTTTGTTTCTGAGTCATGAAAAATTCTGACTGTGTTAATAAGTGGTTCTTGCCACATAACACACTAATATCACTGCCGCTCTGCTTTTAAGAGTATCTGAATAATTGGGATAGTTAGAAAGTATGCAGCTGGGGCAGTCCACTTAAATTTGGTCTGGTGGCCATAACTTTGCAATTTGCTATCATGCTTGAACATTTTTGTGTGTGTGTATGATCACAGTCAAATTTATCCAGGTATCTTCCCAATAAATACAAAACAACCGAAGACTGTATGATTTTCCAAGTCATTGTAGGATTCTCCTGTTTAAGAATAGTAAAAGCTTATCTTAATTTATAAAAAAAATCTATTCAGGAATTTTAATCACTCCTTTTTTTTTTAAATTTAGCTAGAATTTCTTAAACTAATCATTAAGTTATCATGTAGTTATAAAAAGAGAATTTGTGTTCAGTTAAGTAGCACTGATATCAAGTAGCATACTTGATAGTAGTAGGTACTTGAAGATTTTAAAGCAACATAAGACCATAAACCAGCTTTATGGTTCACAAGAGTAAAAAAGCTGTCCAATTGTAAAAACTTAAAGCTGCATAAGTATTTAAGCCATACTGAATCCTTTTGGCTAACATTGTCTTTGCATAGTGTGTTTCTGAAGTGATGTACAGGTGCAATGCCTTTCTTTCAAATTGAGCATATTTGGCTAAAATTCTCTTTTTCATCCAACACTATCAACCTATGGAAGCTTCTACCTTGTTTTAAGAGGAATCTTGTGGCTACACACTTTGATGCACTTCTCTCTTTGCTGAGAGTATCTAAAAGCAGGAGGATTTTTCCAGGTTTGAAATAAAGAAAAGGCCTGCTGCCACACAATTATCTCACAGAGATAAAAGAAGTTATGGTACACTGGAAAACTGATACTGGGCAAGAGCTACCTTCCGTTGAATTCTTCAAGATATTTGAGACTTATGAGACCAGTTAGAGGAAAAAGGGAGAGCTGAGTGGAAAAAATAACATATCATATTGTTTGACAAGCATTATGAAGTTTAAGATTTGGAAAGTTAATTAACTGTATGGACCTGAATTGATTAAATACAAATAAAATCTCAATTCAAATAACCTGTCTTGGAGAAACATTTTACTACAACAAAATTCCAAGTGACTGTGCCTGTCCCCAAGGAAGATAAAATGCACAGTTACCTGGAAGAGGAAACACTATGTACAAGGAATATTATGGCATTGACTCCAGAGCCATGGTTGTCTTCGGTAGTTTTACGCCTGAAAACAAAGATATTTGTACAGGGTATGTCAGATACGTTGCATATTTTTCCAGAAAATGTTTCACATTTAAATTGTAATTAAAAAAAATTAAACTTTTAATTTCCCAGAATGCATGCCATCTAAAGTTTTAGACAATTTTTCAGAATCAGTTAATCAATTATGATGGTTTAATGTCAGTGGACAAGACATATGGAATCTGCATGTGCCAGGAAAAACAGGTACCTGATGGAATGATAAAAATTTGATTCAGTCAAGTATTTTCTTGAGGATTAAAATTTAAGAGGAAAGTGAAGTAACTTAACTAACTAAGGTAATGTTAGCAATGCATCTTTTTCCTGGCACTCAAAGAGTGATGTCAACCCTGGGTAAAGTACTCTACTAACACTGTCTTCCATGCATCAATATGAATTGGCTGCCTCATATATGTGGAAGAAAATATAAATAAAGAGCTACTGTCTGAACTGCAGTAAAGTTTTGATTATTTTCCATGGTGCAGAAAATAAAAGGTGCATCTCACCTTTTCACAAACTCGCCAATTTTACACATGAAGGATGAAGTGCGACTCTTGGGTAGGACAATTAGATATTGACTTTGTCCTAAAAGACATGCATTCCTTCACTAACATAGGAATACTGCTATGCTGCTCTACTCAGTCTAACCAGACATATTGCCATTGTTCAGTTTACTGATGTAGCAGCTTAATGGGCATAAGAATATCTGGAACCTAAGTGACTCTTTGTCACTTTCTCTGAAAGATCTTTACTCTCAAACCTCCAAAATCACATCAGGTTTCTCCTCATTGACTGTAACTTTTAGTCTTCTAGGTAAGGACAGTGATCGAGATACTGATAATGCAGAACATCTGCAATCATCATCTGAAGTAGCATTACTTCCAAATGTCCTCTCAAACACAAACTTCCAAAATAAGGATGTTTCTACAGCTCAGTAGCAGCCACTAGTCAATGACTAGAGTGATTTACATAGTGAGAGTTTCCTTCAGTGGCAGTGCTGAGCTACATTAAAACATTATTTTTAATTATATCATTCCTTTCCCAAATGACTCTCTTGGTCACTTCTCCTACCTGCAATGTCAGGACTAGCTAGTAAAGTAATTTGAAGTGGGAGGGAGGAGGGCCCACATAAATTGCTACTTTAAGTCCTGCTTGCAAATCCCTTTATATTTGGGCATATTGGAATTTCTAGTAAGCCACTTGAAAAGTTTGTATGACATACTGGAGATCAAAAGGCATGAAAGTAATACTCACAGGCATTTCACCGAGGCAGATTCAAAATCCCACAAGTTTATTTCACCATTGGCACTTCCTGTAGCTATCGATTTGCCTCCTTCTATTTGTAAAACATCAAAACACCTAATATCCACACAAGATAAAAAAGTCTACAAAGAAGATTAAAAGAAAAAAATTGAGTAGGAGTAAGAGTAGGACACTATAGACAGTGAAATATTTTAACTGGTAATTGAACAAAATGCCTAAATTGACAGTGTCTACAACAACTGCATATGGGATGCTATTTTAATGCTATTGTATTTGAGCTATATAGAAGCATCATAGGAAACAGGGAGTGAAAGTATTGGGAGACTCCCTGCTGCAGAGGACAGGGGCCTCTAATCTGACCTGCTTTTTACAGCACAGTTGCAATTTGAGCATTTGAAAACAAGTGTAAGGGCTGAAGATTAATCATAACTAGGTATCTGTGGAGATATTCTAATCAAGTTAAAGGAAGAAGTGACTGAACAGAGATATAATGACCTTTCCATAAACACCATCCACACCTGTTACAAAGTTAGTGAAATTTTACAAGACAGAACTTAAGTCTTGTGGACTATTCAAGTTAAATTGAAACATAAATTTGGCATTTTATTTTGCTGAAGTAGTAAGAGGAGAAAAAGGAATCACTCTGATATTCAGCTTGATCTTTATGTGCCACTACTACTAAAGGTCAGCCTAGCTATAGGAGGAAAGACATTTCTAGAGGTGTTTATGTGAGAACCTCAATTTACTATATTGTACAGGAATGTGAAGTTTATGTTCAGAGCAACTCCTTAATTATGGTGATAACCATGCAATGGACTTCGAGGACGATATAGCCCTTAGAAACATGATTTATTCTGTGTATTTATTTCAGTTTACTGAAAAGTCTGGAATCACAGAATCACAGAACATGTAAGGTTGTAAGGGACCACAGTGGGGAATAATTATTTGGTTGTTGTCCAGTTGCTAAAACATGAAATAACTGTGAGCACAGTAAACATTTTACTTTCTAATCTTCTGTAAATGTTGTGAAAGTTTGAAGTGTTTCTCACCTCTCTATCATTTTTCATGGAGCTGGTGTTGCATAGAAGCCGAATCTCAGGGAAAAAATCTTGTGTTTTTAAGGAGGAGGGCTTCAGTGACATATACACAACCGGATTCCTTTGTGGAAATGGCACTATCTCAGGAAGCACCCATGTGACATATAGATCTGTTTGAGCTGAGTCACCCTATTAAAATAACTGACTTAATCAAAGAGGAAGGAAAGGATTTCTCTATTCATGAAGAATTATAGCAAGTGTGTATCAAAAGCTTGTTTTCTTTGACAAATTACAAAAACTGTTACAGGTATTAACTAAACAGCAAACTGAAGTTTCATCTAGACAAATGCCAGCTCCCCTTAAATTACCTGCTGTTAAATTAGAAGCTGCACAGCTGTGGAATTCAGAGCTATTGATTTTACTCATTTTAACTACCTTAAATTATCTCCTTAGTTTTAGCTGCTTATTTCACAAACATTGTTACTCTCCATTTCATATCTACCAAAACATCCAGCGAAAGTGATGGTTGTTGCAGTAGTGTGAGAACAGAAGCTACAGCTCCGAGCTAAAGCCCTGAGTCTCGGATTCCTCCCCATCATGCCTAGAGGCATTGATGCTTTTCCAACTATAATAGATTGACTCCAGTATAGCTCCTGCTCTAACACTGATATTTCTGTCCATTTTGAGAAGTGTTACTGAAATCAGCTTCTTAGGTTCGCTACTGTTTTCATAGATGTCTTGGGTTGCAGAATGAAGTAATAATTAAGATTTTAGTAAATCTTATGCTATTGAGTTAATCAAACAAGAAATACCTTTAGGAAAGGACTAAAAATTGAGAGATCTATAGTAGAGTCCTACAAAGGATGAACTGTTTTGGGCTGCTACTCCCAATTACCTTGCTAACTACTATATTTAAAGCCTTTAGAATAGCTAATAATAAAACAACGTATATTTCTCATTATCACAGAAAAGTTTATGGAAAAAATGTAGTATGTGAAACAGTATTAATCTACTTAGCTTCATAAAGACTTGGAGGAGACTCAACTCCTCACCAATCTGTTTGTCAAGGGTTACATTTACATCATTTACACTTAATGGATTGTTAAACAATTTCAGTAATAACTGAGGAGCAAATAGTGTGGTGCAGTATTTCCAAAAAAAGTCTGAACAACATAAGAAAACCCTGTATAAAGCAGCTTTTCATTAGCAGGCTCAAAAGAATATATTATTTACTGAGATGAGAGCCTGTATATTACTTTTTTTTTTTCACATATATCATCTGTCTAAACCCATGTTTTCTACCTTGCACACAGCAGCTTTAAAGTTTCAGAAGAATTTTGTTCCAAGTTAAACATTCCAATTTGAGGAATGTAATTCCACAGAAATAGGGCTTGTCTAAGAAGTTAAGCCATAATTATTGTAAGCTGCGAATGCATCATGTTGGTTTCAGATGAAAGGAACACAGAGTAGATGCTCAAAATCAAGCCAAGCAAGTCAATCTGATTTATTACTGCCTTTTTCTTGGTATCAATTCCTAAGAGTCCACTGTCTTAATCTATTAATTTTAAACCAAAATAAAATAAAATAATATTTTCATCAAAATATTATCTTAAGAAGCTCTTTAAATAGAGTAAACACCACTTGTAGTAACAACACGAATATTTTAAAGCCATTACCTCAAAGGATCTGTAACTACTGAAACCTCAATCACAAATGAAAAAGCAAACTCAAGGAAAAAATTATGAGAATGCTGAAAACCAGTGGTGAACTAATAAATATTTTAACACTAGACAGAAGGGTAAAAAACTAAAGCCCTTGAAATAGATTACATTGGAAAAGCAGATTGTTCCTTGACAGTTTCTACAAGTTTATCTACTAATTAATAATAAAGACCTATTTTACCTCAGAAATGAGGGGCTACCAAATGAAATTAACGGGGAAAAAAGAAGCATATTTGAAAAACCTGAATGATTTTTATCTTCCCTCTCTGCTCCAAAACAATAAGTGCATGTTGACCCCCATCAGCCTTCAGATATACTATCTTCAGCACACGATGCTCATCATCACTGTGTTGCACTAAAGGCAAGGCTTTAACTTCTTGCCCGCTTTCAAACTCCCAGATTTTCACTGTTCCTACACAGGGATGACAAAAATGTAGAAAAGGGAATGAGCAATAACCTGTGCTGCAAATCCAGAATCTTAAATAAGACCAAACAGGGAAAAGAGAAAGAAAGCGAAAATCCAATTTTGGTCAAGAGTTAGGTCACTAGTCTTTCAAAAATTGTAACTGTGTGTTTCTTAGCAAAGCAGCTGTAGGGCCAAAACCACTTAACAGAAAACATCACTACCCTCTCAATTTTTCCATCTCTTATTCCATCTCTGTTTTTTGTGCAGCCCAGGATAAAAGATCTCTGCTTATCTTACTGAATAAGATTTTCAGAGAGCAATCAGAGTGTGGATATCTGGCAGAAGACTTTGGGTTCTGAATTACAGCAATGAGCACAGGGATCTGATTGCTGGATTTATCCCAGAGAGCTACTGGGGAGAAGGAGCTATGGAATTTTCTTAAGTAAAGCAATTATTTACATGTGACTTTTCTTTTGTAAGACTTGACAACACTCATCTTCTGTTATGGTCTTAAGATCCATAAAGGGTGCAGTCTCTGCTCCCAAGTAGAAACAAGAGTATTAGCCAGTATGTTGTGTGGGGAAGGCCATAATTTCTTCTTCATGTGAAGTAGATTTCATAAGCATCACATATTTTAGAAATTCAGGTGTGTATTCTTGAACATTTAAATGTAAGAAGAATTATTCTTTCAAGTTAACAGATTATAAAATTATTAAAACTTTCTGCACAATTCGATGTGCACTTGTGTACTGAAGAGGTCATGTCACATTACCTAAATCTCATGCACCCTTAATAACAGGCATGAAAAATACAGGAAACATCTGTATCTATCTATCTATCTATCTATCTATCTATCTATCTATCTATCTATCTATCCATCTATCTATCATCTCTCTATTTCTTCTAGTGTTCAATGACTTCCAACACCATAAAACTGAGCTTAGAGATTAGAAATTTAAAAACTACCATTCTTCATCTGCAGCCATTTAGTTATACATCTAGGTCCTAAGTATTATGAGGAAACAACTTTTCAGACCAAGAGTTTTGAAGAGTCTTTCGAAGAGTAATAGGCTAAAAAAGAACCAGAGCCCAAGCAGCCCAAGATGATGTTTCTGTGAACCACCTATCAAACAGAACCTAACCAAGACCCACCCTGCCCTTCTACAGACTGACAGCTGTGCAATCAAAATTAATTCTGTCACTGAGACAGTCAAGGCAAAGAGTTCTGTCAGTTAACGTAATATGCCATTTAAAAAAAAAAAAAGGTAATAAAAAGTAGTAAAGGTAAAAAAAAAAGGCAGTAATTATTTAATTATTTAATTGCTTTACCATCACATGCCCCAGTAGCAAGATAAATGCCATTTCTTTCAATGGCTGCACAGGTCACCTCAGTATTCAGCCCATGCGCATCTTCTATTTGATATATTTGAGATCCTGTTTCTAGGTCCCAGACCTAAAAAAATAATATTAGTTATTTTGAATACATCCTCTAAAACTGATCACACAATGTGTTCTACTGTAATAGGAGAAATTATGGCCAATAGCAAATTTTTTTACTGAAACACCAGTGTATTTTCCCTGAAAATCTCTCTCTGGGGAAGCCACCTAGGCAAGGGGAAGCTCTATTTTTTATGTATGTTATGATAAAGACCCTTTTAAACCAGAGCAAGTGATATTAAAGTGTTTTTACAGTTTGAAAGAAAATAAATTTTACTAGAAAGAATTGAGTTATAGTTTCTGTGCAGAATATACAGAAGAGGCTTTTCATAAACATTTGGTCCAAAAACATAGAAACAACTATCTGTGATCATTATTGAATTCTTTTAGAAATTTAAGCAACACCTTTTAATATAATATGAGTAAAAAATTTGGTCACTGTAGGTGGGATAGCTTAGATGCAACTGGATTTGTCAAGTAGCTACTGATATCATATGCACTGGAATCTGATTTTCTGTAGCACCAAGTGCTCCAAATCACCTTGTGATTGTAATAGCATTGCAGCCATTGTGGTCTAAGGAAGCCAGGGTTTACAGTGACAAATAACATCTTCAGAGAGAGTATAAACTAGAAAAACCATTACACAAGCCTTTCTCCACAGGAATGCCATGCATCACCAACTGACCCAATAAAAGATGCTACCTCTCCCTACAGATTTTGCCATCTAATGAACCAACAGCTGGTGAAAACTACAGGTTCTCAGTACCTCTTCTGATTATTGTAGAAAATGTAGATTACTGTAGTGATTTACACAGATTATTGCATTTATGTTAAAAAGAAAAGTTGGATCTTCTGAACCCAAATGGGGTGTATGGCTACCACTTCTTTGGACCCCAAAAATAGCCACAAAAACAACACTGAATAAAAATATTAGTAATTTATCAAATTTCCTGATAACTTATTTTGAATACTAAAGCTGAGACTTCTGATTTTCAGTAATAAAGGGTGACAGCTTACACTCACCTTTAGTATTGACTCAGTGCAAATGCTGAGAATCTGGTGACAAGCCCTGTTGTAGAGCAGAACATTGAGGCTCTTCTCATGTGTCTGAGGCAACTCTTTTGAATATTGTGTCACATTAGCTAGGGGATAAATATCAATGACATCTGAACCTGCACAAGATGAGAGAAGTGAGAATACATATACTTTGTGTATAATTTTCCTGGAAATGAAAAGATTTCACATAAACCATTGGGTTCATACGAGTTCTTCTGAAGAGGATATGGAATATTGTCTGGTTTTTGAGAACACATGTTCACTGATGCAGAAAACATTCTAACACTGTCCCCAAAAAGTACCAGTCAAACAATGGCCAAGTATTTACCTGTCTTACACAGTCCTCAGCCCACCTTTGATGAGATTGACATCCTGACTGCAAATTAGTAGAAGCCATAAATCCCCTACTTGCAGAGTTGGTTGGCATGAAATGGAATGAACCCAAATACATAAAACTCTAACTGGGAGATCTATCACTGAAATAAATTCTGGTTTCTACTTTCTTAGAGACAAAGCAATTCTATCTGCAGGCAATGATGATGTCTTTCCAGTATCTTCTCTATACAGCACTGCAGTTCTGAATGATGTTTTCCAAACACCTTCCAGTGCTCTCAGATCAGGGGTTGCAAAGACAGAGGCAGACAGGGACAAAAAGACAAAAGGAAGGACAAGGTCTGTACAGTGCTCTCAAGCCAGAGTGCATATGCAGTCTCCCATTGCAGCTCCAGTATCCCTGCCCTGGTATCCCTGCTGATCCACCAGCAGAGGAGCAGCAGTGAGTCCAGAGCAAAGGAGCAAATTGCCTAATCCTTGGCATAAATCCAGGTGCAGAGGCCTGGAAGCAGGCACAGAAGTAAAGCTATGGCAAAATTCAAATGAAGCATGAAGGTGAGCTGTGATTTATGAATGTTAGTGAATTACCAAGTGAAAATCTCCTCTGGGAAGCCAGGTACATAGCAATGAGAATGAATTCACTCATACACAGGCTCATCTCTTGCCGTCTTCAGGGGCAAGGAAACATTCACTTAGGCTTTTAATGGAATCATTAACAGAGTCTAGGACCAGACTTTTACAAATATTTAGGCACTTATAGAACCATTGTTTATAATGGCAAATTACTCCATTTTGTCAAGGAGTGACCTGTATAAATTCACAACATTGCTAAGCCTTGAAAATCTCACAAGCATAAACTTGAAATGAAGACAGTATCTGTATCCTTTAGCGATTAAAAAATTCACTAGAAGCCATCAGGTCACTGAAAACAAAATGTTGCACATTCATCTTCTCAGATCTGACAAGCTTTGCAAGCTTTGTGCCTTGTTCCTAATCCAAGGACAGAAGAAGTTGTCTCCAAAGACAATTACCTTATTTTCCTGGTACATGTCAGGTCTCTATAGCCTCAGAACATGTTCAAAGCTCTCTTTTCTGTGACTACATCTCTGGGGCAGAGAAACCCTGCCAATTTCAAGATTCTCTGCCTTAGATATAAAAGGCTAACATCCTTAGTGACAAATGCAAAGCTCTGGTCCCTCAGAGGTGTCAGGCTCCCTGCTACAAAGTCAAGAAACAGAACCCAGAAACCCCAGGTTGAGTTCCCACAATATTTTATTCTTAATCAGTTGGACAGTGTGTCTGTTGACACTTGAGGCTGTAGGGTTGTCTTTAGCCACTGAATTAAATAAGGAGTTTGAATATACTTGTGAGGGCTCCACAGAGATTGAATACTGCTGTTTTCATCTCCAAACAGGAGGTGGGTCCTGGAGGAATAGTTAGGAGGAGATCAATAACTTAATAGCTTTCAAGAAATTACAAGTCTATATAACAATCTGTGCAGTTTAATTTTGCTGTGGGAGGCTCACCTTGCCTTCAGAGAAGCCTTTCTCATTTCCTTTGGTTCCTGCTGTTAATTCCCATGCTGCATATTTTCATGCTGTTTTCAATATTGAAATTAGCACCATACAGAACCCACTTTAAGACAATCTTAATTGGCAATTCCCTCGTCTCCCAGCATTCTGTATAGTCTCATATACCTTACTCCTGTACTCAACTTCAGCTGTATTTAATCATGAAGAAAATTGGATTCTAAGAGAAGATACATGCTCTCCCACACCAACTGCAATAACATACCTGTGAAAAGCAGGCCATGGTCATTGTCAAATACCATGGGAAAGGCATTCATCTCTTCTGGAGTCCCATGATCTTCATAGAAGACCTGCAGCGGTGAAAGAGTCTGTATATCCCACACTCTAAAAACCTAGAGGGGGAGAGAGACGAGAAAATCTAGTGCTGTATCCTGACTGGATTTTCAATTACTTTGTTTCTATGACATAAATATTATAGCCTCCAAGGAAATCACTTTGTTAAAAATGGTACATCCCAAAATGAGCAAGAAAAATATCAAAGGTACCTTTATTCACATTTTACTAAGGATAAAATGCACAGAAAGGCTGAATTTTTTGTAGTCTTGACCTGAGAAGTCCACAGCAGAACCAGATCTCATAAAAACTGGTTCTAACCCTTAATGAAAAGAGGCCTCTGTTGTGTGCTGTACTTTTCTGTAACATACAGATAAATGCCACTGGTTTAAAAACTTGCATTTGAAATGGAGTATGAAATGATGTGCAACAGTACAAAGACAAATTTCAGGGGGTTCTGGATAAAGAAACTCCTTTGACTGATAGCAGGTGTTTGACCAAATCAGGATCAGAACACACTACAGAAGTATTATTTTTATGCATATAAAGCTCTTGTGCTTTCTATAAGGAAATGCTATTGACCACAGTCAGGGTACCATCCTGTAAATAGCATTAGATGTATTTAGATGTATTTGTTCTTACTTTCAGGTTCAATGAACCTGAAAGTAAGAAAGCACAGCATCTCCTTTGAAATCTAGAATAATTGTTTGTTAGCAGCACTTTTCATCCTGCCTGATTCAAAGCTGTGTTGAACTTACTGCTATCCCATGCAAACTATTTTTAATACTTCAAGAAATCATGATTTAATTTCTCAGATCCCATGGCCTTTAGTGTGGTGTATTTCTCTGCAAGATAATTTTACTATGCTCTCAAAAGTTATTCTGTCATCACGTCTGCCTGCAATTCTTATTCAGCTGCCATAATGGTGAGTCGTATGTAGGCACTTTTGCAAGTTATTTTTATTCATTCAATTGTGCTATTGTTATGGCTTCACTTTCAATTGGGATTTTAACACAAAGACACATGTCGGTACAACAGCAACACTCTCATCAGTACTCTGAACGTTGTGGGCCTTGACAAAAGTCACAACCTGATTTTAAAGGATGTACAGTGGATCCACCAGAATTCTGAAAAGGAAGGGAAGAAAAGGAACAGGTACATCAATCAGTGTTTAAAAATATCACCTTTGGCACCAGAGATAAATTCATACATGAGTGTTTCAGAATGTTAAGTAGAAGAAAATTTCTCCTTAATATTTTGTTATCAGGAAAACTCAAAGAGAAAGGACTCTAAAGAACTTTTTACTGAGAATAAATTTTCCCTGACACAGTACTGAGTCAAAAGAACCATGTCCATCACATTCCTCTCATTGACCTCTGATTACATTTCAGAGTTTACTTAGACATGCAATTTCTAAAGTCTATGAAGAGCAAAACAGTAATTGAGAAGCCTTGAAACAGGAAATCCATTAAATAGGAAAAAAATCATGAAGCCCTTCATCCAGCTGAACAGTAGACCAGCAAAAATTGAAAGAAGGTTCAGTTATGAGAATTGAGAAATTTAGGGCACTATCACAGGTCGATCTCCAAGCTCAATTCTAGTACGCTCACAATTAGAACATGTGAAAACAGGAGTAAGAGATGAAAATTAAGTAAAAGTAGGTATCTGTGGCGATACTACCATCAGGTGAAAATAATAAGTCACTGAACAAAGGTAAACCTTCCCATAAACATCACCCAGATCTGTTACAGTGTTAGTGACAAAACAAAAATGAAGAAAGACAATTCTAACAGCGTAACAGACTATTCAAGTTCAACTGGTCAAAAAGTGAGACATAGGTTTGACATAATATCAAAGTGATAAAAAGAGAAGATGTCTTTATAGCACAAGAGAATATAACTAAGAGCTTCCTGTGCTATTTCTTGCTGCTTTTTCAGCTGTTAAGGCCAGTAGCACATTAAGGAAAAGCAGTCACTTAAAGTGACAGCAAAAAACCTAGATACATTGCAGCATTCATAAATCTCTTCCCTGCCTTATGGCTGCCTTCTTTTCCCAGCCCGTGGGCAGGGATGGGGAGATTACATAAACCACTGTTCCACATGAGTAACTCCTACACATGGCATCACCAGCGTGGCCGCAAGACACAATGTCAGTGCTGCTCATCTGCATCAGCACACAGACTGTGTACGAATCTATGTGTGAAGAGAGGCAACAAAAGGCATGCTTATTTAGAAATTAGGAAGTGGCTAGGGGCAGTTGCCTTAGGAGTGTTAATACTAACTTTACTGTCCTACTTATTTATTGAAGAATTTCCCACAGCAGCCTGAGAAATACCAGGAATCCCTGAAATCTGAGAGCATATTCTTTATGGGAAAGTGCTTTTGGACTGTGTCTTTTGAAATGCAAAATACAGACTACATACAAGCAAACAAAACAGGGAGGAGAAGGAATGTGGAAAGAAGGTGCTTTTGGAAACAACCCACTGTTTCAACTTTATAGGGAAAGCTGAGCTGTACTTCCAGCAACATTATTTCTACAGTAGTAGCTTACATTAATGAGAAACTTTGTTTGGTTTAGTTGTTGGCAGAATTGCCTTTGACCCAGAGAGAGTCTTTTTTAACAGTTAGCAGAGGGCAAGAAGGGATACTTGCCTGTGTTCCCACATTGTGACCAGCCTTCTCCACACAGATGGTATCTAGTGCACAGGGGCATTCAAGGAATGCACACTGCATTACTTTACTCTATCTTGACTGCAACAGCCCCAGAAAACTACTTTGTTATCCTCTCCAGGACTGCAATATGGAATAGTTCCCTCTGTTCTGAGGTGCTCTTCTTGTGTCATTAATTTTTCAACCCAATGGAAAAATCACATAGTTACAGATGGAATTTCCACAGACACTGATAAAAAATCGGGAACTGAATCCCCCCAGAATTCAGTGGAACTTCTTGCCACTGAGACCCACTCTGAGCCTTCTGACATCCCCTGAAAAATTTAAATGTCTATATTTGCATTCATAAACATTTTCCTCTTGAGCACAACCTTCCTTCAAGCCCTAAAACTCAGAACATAGAAAAAAGTCTGAACAATCTTTTCCATTGGCTCTGAAGCCTTTGTTTTATGGGCACGTAAAACTAGCAACACATCTCTCCTATTTTTCTCAATACACTCAAAGACAGACAGAAGGCAAAAGATTCATCCGAACAACTAAAATGTGAAGAGCAGAAGGAAATAGAAAAAAGATGGGAAATAAGGCCAGAAAAATTGATAAATAGATTTTTTACTTGCTCTCAGTACAATAAAGTACAGGCTTGGGAACACTTATCTCTTGCCAGGTTTCTATGAAGACACTACTGCGGAAACACACTTTGACTTTGGAAGAAGCAAATCCTGTTCTCCCTTCTGTCTGTAATTAACTGAGATAGATAAGGACTAAAGAAGTTCAGGTTTTGCCCCTCCCCCTTCCCCCACCAAAACATAAACCCTTCTAATTTCTGCTAGTTAAGAATAAGTGACTTTAAAATACTGTTCTATGAGAAATATCTCAATGACCCTCTAGAGAAAACAGTAACTTTCTTTTAGTTCTTCCAAACTCTCACATTCCGCTGATACTTTTTGAAAGTTAAAGAATATTTGCTTTTTGAAGTCAACATTCCTCAGTTTTACAGAATGGTGATACTGCAAGTCTTTAAAAGGACTTATGAAAAATCACTTATGCAGGAAAATCCAAACCCCAGCCACTCTGGGCAGAAAGAAGTTGTGCAAGCCACAGTATTCACTGTAGGTAGGCATAGACAGGAAGAGTAAGGAACAACTGAGGTGGATTTTTTGTTGAAGCCTTTAGTTTATCTGCTCCTATTTGCTACCCTGTTCACTTGTTTGAGAGGGTCATTTAAGGCTCCATGGTCTAAATGAAAAAATTCACAGATTCATATAGAATGTCTGAGGCTTCAAAGACAAAAATCACCAGGCATGAATGTCAAACTGCAGTTCTGCTTACTGTGTGACTTAAGTTATCTTCAGAGAGTGCCTATATGTGTCTTGTGATCCCTGAAGGTGATCCTGCAAAGTGCTAGAACTCCCTGTCACAGTAAGAAGACGTAGGAACCAATGGATGTCAGTGGGATTACTTGTGAGGTTAAGACAAGGAGGATTTAGTTCTAATCTTATTAATGCAATGTGGTGCAGCAGCCAGTACTGTACCTACTGCCCTACTGAGATAGCAACTTGACAAAGTTCAAAATTATGAGGATTTCAAATCACTTTCTCAGATAATACCATTAATGGGGTAGTACATAAAATTACTTACTTTTTCCAAACCTGAAGGGCTGCTGGAAAGAAATAAAAACTGTTCTATGCAGTAGTGAGTCTAATTACATAGTAATGAGCCTGAAGGATATTTACTGGGTGCTGCTATTAAGAGGGTGTAAATGCTCTGCATGCCTTGTCTCTGCACTGTGTGCAGGATGTGCTGACAATAGACATACCTGATCCCTGCTGCAAAGACAAAATAACACTCAACACTTCTGAAGAACAGCTTCAGTGGACATGTAGATGGTGTGGGGATCAGAAACAGGAAACTAGAGGTATAGAACAGAGGTGGCTGCCCATGGATACCTGAATCAGAAGAGTTAAAAACCACTCAGGTTCCTCCTGTCAATCTTCAACCAATCTTAGAATGATTCTCTCATCTTAGACAAAGTTTTTGAAGTAATTTTACTTTTTCACAGAGTAACAATTGTGGTTGGAAGGGACCTTTGGAGATCACCTTGTCTTATACCGTGGTTCAAGTTATGTCACATAGAGCAGGGCCATGTCCAAATGGATTTGAAATATCTCCAAGGACAGAGATTCCACAACCTCTCTGGGAATCCTGTGTCTGTGCTTGGTCTCCCTCACAGTAAAGAAATGTTCCTTTCTTTAGCAGAAAGAATCTCCTGTTTAAGTATTCATTGTCTTTGTTCTGGTCATTGGGAGCCACTGAAAAGATCCTGGTCCCATCTTCTCTACACTCTCCCTGTCAATATTTGTCTACATGGAAGAGATTCTCCCTTGAGACTT